GCACACTAGTGTGCCGCGGAACAGTGGTTGAAAAACACTGGCCTAGAGGACCACATAAAAAGCCATGGCGGGCCGAATTTAGCCCCCGGGCCTTGGGTTGACACACGTGACGTAGGGAATAAAAATCCAGTGGCAGTAACACAGTCTCAGTCTGAGGTTTAGCTCACGTTTTGACGTAGGGGTCGGAGAAGCCGTTGACGTCCATGGCTGCCAGGTGGGCGCAGCGCTTGACGCCCACGCAGAGCCCACCCCGAGCTCTCTCCTTGGCCTCGCCCTTCAAGTCGCCGTCACCGTTTGGGGGCAGGAACTGGAGGCAAAGCAGCAAACGGCCCCTTTCCTCCAGACTCCTCTGCTGCTCCGTCTCCCACTGAAGGACAGGAAAGGACGAGATCTGTGAGCTGCACATGGACAGAGCGACTCGTGTTCATGTAAATACTCGGCATGGAAAGCAACGTTTGTGGGCAGAGTACGCTAAAGTGTACTCAAGTAAGAGTGGCACTACTTCAACATATTTTTACTCGAGAGTAAAAAGTATCTGTCCAAGAAATTTCTCAAGAGTAGAGATACTTCATAATAAAATTACTCAAGTGAATTACAGTGTAGTCAAATTACTCCTAAAAGTGATAAAAAAAAACAGTTATTCATGTAAATGTAATTTGGTAAAAGTATCTAGTTACCACCCAGCTATAACATGGTGTAATCATTGTACAACTTGAAATGGCTGATTTTTTAGAAACAAAGAAGTTAAGATTTTATTTTTAGATTTTGTAGACCTCATAAAGTCTCTGGCATACTTTGCATTAAATTATCATAATTTACAAAATCATGCAAAGTTGGCATTTTTAATGGGCTTTTAATGCAACTTTTAGAGCAACTTTGCATTAAAAGTGTCATTATTTACCGCATGACACTTCATGACAACAGTCATAAACATTCACAGAGACTTCTTTATGTTCATGACAGGTGTTATGTCATGTTTATGACCGTGTCATGTCAGTCTTATACACACCGCTTCAAATAAAGTGTTACCACATTAACTAAGCACAATTACAAATTGGCTTCAGGATTTTTCTTTGGATAACAGCGAACTGCTGCCAAAGCGCCGTCTGAAAACATGTGGACCGACAGGGCAGATTCAAAGTGACAAATAAAAGAAACAGGCAGAAAAAGAGAGAGAGGAGAAGATGCTCTCTAGGGCCCATGACTCACCAAACTACAGCCTTCAGCTTACATATATGTACGTTATTTATAGAAGAGATGCATGTTTTGAATCACTGACGGTGGGCCATTTTTTACCTGCTCTCTGCTCGTCCTTTGGTTAAATCAGTAATGATCTATATCACAACAAACACACGATCAATATCAATGGATAATACGTCTGATTAAATATTCAATATGAAGAATATTCACTGAATCTGAACTTAACTCACTTACTCTTTGGTTGCCTAGCAACATAAGTTCCCCCCAACTTTGGTTACCTAGCAACGACCTGTTGGGGAACTCGCAGCTGCAGTTTAAAGTTCCTCCACTTTACCTCACAACTACTTAAAAATAAAACAACTGTGTGGAGTGAAAACTGGATACAGCAGGAGAGGTCAGGCCACCAGTTTGGTAGTATCTCAAATATTTAAAACAGAAAACTAATCAATAATTATTGACATTGACTGACATTGTGCTAAGCTTTTCAGCCACAACGTCCAGCCCTAATACATAGTTCCAACTTCCTACAAATCTGAACTGGAAGTGATCCGCGCCATCTTAGTAGGCAAGCGTAATACGTAGCAGACCCATGGCTTCAAGACCAACAAAAATAAAATATGAGAAAACCCTTAACCAATGTCCGAGGGAAAGATACATGAACAAAATGGCTGCTGTCAAAATCGACCCGTTTGAGACGGAGAATGAAAAATATGTCAGACGATACTACAAGCTGCCTATGATCTCATTCTACTATATAATTACCTACCTAGCGAACACAAAGAGTGAATACATCATAAAGGAACTTCACCTGAAATCTGGACGCATACAATCAATATTTAAACGTATTTGTAAAGGGCGATCAAACTCTCTGTGTGAAAAACAAGCTTCTAATGACTGGGAAAGCAGGAACACGTAGAAACATACATGCAGGTTAAAGTCCGTCTTAGCTAGCAAATAAAAGCTACGTTAGCTAAGCAAATTTAGCTAGTTTGGCACTAAATGCTACACTAAATATCACTGATATTTATCTCATTATTACACAGAGACGGGTGGAGTACTCAAATTGTGACGAAGTGATAATTATGATGCACTTATATTATTTATAACTTGGATAGGAACGAGGCGAGACCTAGTTCTAAGCTTGTAGATTGCTTATTGTTGTCATAGGAACTCCATAGCAACTGCCTCCCAAGATGGCTGTCAGTTACAAAGTTCACAGACATGATGTGCCATGAGAACTACCAGTATGCATTACATCAGTCTTTCTTTTGTATCTCTAAATCTCTCAGGTTTTATCTGTAAGGGACGAGGCGATCGATCAATATGCAACACGTCCGTCCGAATCCCCACAGTCCACCGCTTCCCTCATCATAATCCTTTCCCTCTTTCTTTCCTAGGGAGCCGTCACTGCCAGTGGCCCGTCCGCCATCTGTCAACTCTTCGGTGAGTTGCGAGCTTTAGAAACTTGCAATTAGAGAATGACTTGCACCAGGTAGCTGGTAGAACAACGGCACAGACCTTCACAGATCGATAGAGAGTGACTCATTAGGCGGGGGAAAAACAAACGGGGAGCCAGCTGGAAACAGTGAGAAGTGAACAGGAAGGAGGGAGGATTTGTTGGGTGCAAGACGGGAGAACAACACGAGTCTCAGCAGACAAATGAAGTAACCTTGAACCTGGTAGAAGATGTAAAGTTTATCTTGAGTCTGATTAATGAGGCTGACGGGACTTCACGGTGCTGGTTTGGGCTTGGTTATTAAATCCAAAGAAAAGATTTCGTCGGCTCATTAGTGGAGTTTGCATCAGCTGCTTTAATTTGGATGAAGATTGATCCCGTAACTTCATCTTCACCGAAAGCTAAACCTAAAGGTACAATCTTGCAAATGAACCTGTTCCAGTCCACCAATCCAGAGCTCTGTTCAGCGCCTGAGGCCAAACCGTCACTCCAGCTTTTCACCAATCAGCTTCTGAATTTATTTTGTGTCATTTGGAGCTGCAGGGTTCAATTTGTCAGTTTTTCTTTGATGTGTCTGGAAACAATGATCATTTGAGATGAAGTAAAGAAAAATAATCTTCTTTATACCATCTACCATCATTTGGGCTTGTATTAAAGCATATAAACGGTTCTTCAGGAGCTAGTTATAAAAATTGGTCAAAATTATGCAAAGAGGCTTAAATATGCACATACACACCTATTAATATATGATTTAATGTCGCTTAGCAAGTTGCACCTTGACCACAGGCTTTTTTGTAGCTACCAAGAAGCTGCTTCTATAATTCTGGATGAATATTTAAATGCTACTCTTCACAAAAATGATATTTTATTTAATCTTATTGGTTCCCTGCTACAGGCGTAGCATAAAAGGTAAACTGTTAGCTTTCTGTGTTCATTCTAAAACAAGTTTTGATGTCAGTTCGGATTTGTCGTCCTGTAAAAACTTCAAAATGTGTCACAGTTTCACTCATCTGACCCATTCCATCTGTTCAAATGGTTGGTTTTCTTCCACAGACCAGATTATTCCACAGAGGTTCGACTGATCAGAGGTTTCTGCCCTTTCTGAAGCTTAATCTTAGCCACTTTTCGCTAACACTTACTCAGTATACAAACATTTGAGCCAAAATGGCATGAGTAGCAAGAGGACCATCAATGTTGACTAACATTGATTTACTCCATTCACTAGGATGTCTTATAACACTCCCTTCAGTATGCAAACATTTTAGCTAAAAAGCTGAGGTAAGCTAAAATGCTATGAGTAGCAAGAGGGCTATCACTTACATGTTGACTAACATTGATTTACTCTATTCATTAAGTTACATTGAGTTTTTTTGTGAAAACGAGCTAAAATGCTAATGTTAGCCAAAATGCTAACATTAACAGCTGCTATCAGTAGCATGTCTGTTTTATACAGTGTCTGGTTTCGTATATGGGCTACAACTACCCTGCTGTCTAACTCCATTCAGTATGCAAACATTTTAGCTAAAATCTTAAGGTTAGCCAAAATGCTAACATTAGCAGCTGCTATCAGTAGCACGTCTCTGGTTGTACAGTGTCTGGTTTCTCTTGCATAGTCAGTAAAAATGGTAAAGAAAATCTTAATGTTTGAGTCCAAACAGTTTTGCTGGAAGACATTCTCTTCCTACAGCAGTTGTTCTGACTGTAGCTGGAACTCACTGCTGGCTCGCGCGTCCTAAAGTCTCATGCTTGGTTTGTTTTGACATCTTTATGCTGCTGCTGGTTTATCCGCAGGGCTGTTTATTTTCATTGCCGCTTTAAAAGGGACTCAACCTTTAAAGCAGCAACAAACCAACTGCATTCGTGACACTTTTGCTAATTTTATGAGACATTAAATAAATGTGGATTTGATTTCAAACGCAAACTTGTTTACTTGGAAACATCCAGCAGTAGCAACATCAACTTGAACAAAATCAACAACTGACAGCCCACAAACACTTTAGAGAAAAACTTTCCTTGCTAAGTTAGTGTCTTCCACATTAACTATGCTTGTTAAGTTTTAAAGTTTTTCTGCAGTTGTCATGGTAGACTGAGCCAACTTAGTTAAGCTTACTGGAAATGTACAGTTTTACATTTCTCTTTGTACATAAATATTCTCAGAATACAAATTAATTCTTGTATTTTACTGTGTTTGCTACATTTAATAAAGAAGGTAGTGGGTACAATGCTTAGAAAAGTATTAATGCCCAGTGAATGTATTCACAATTTGTCTTTTTATAACCAGAATCATCAACAGACCGACAAAGTAGAGCAGCGTTGAATGATTCAATTATTCCTTTACATCTGCACATCCATAAACTGAAATTTTTGCTCATTTTCTTTGTAATAGCTCAGGTTAATTCACCTTGAACTCTTACCACAGATTCTCCATTAGCTTTGGCTCTGGACTTTGACTAGACCCTTATTATTATTATTACCCTTAGATCTAAATCATCCCATTTTGGCACTGATTGTCGTGTAATTAGCTCAATCCATAGACGAAAACAGAATCTCAGAATTCTGACTTTAATGTCAGGATTCAGAATTTTTTTCTCAGAATTCTGACTTTAATCTAAAAATTCTGAATTTTCTCAGAATCATGACTCTAACCTCAGAATTCAGAATTTTTTTATCAGAATTATGACTTTAATCTAAAAATTCTGAATTTTCTCAGAATCATGACTCTAACCTCAGAATTCAGAATTTTTTTTATCAGAATTATGACTTTAGTCTTGTGAAATCAAAACTCTTTTTTTCCGTAAGGTGAAGCTAAAACTGCTACTTGGTGAATCCTGAGTAGATCATCTGTTTTACGGTTTCTTTTATCTTAAAAATGAAATGTATATATTTTTTTGTACACTTTTGGCTTAACTCGTGCTCTGAGTATGTTGTTCTTTCACCAAATGGCCTCATTTCAAGCCTGTGTACTCAGTAAACGATTAATCTATAGCTAAATCAGTTGACAATTATTTGAATAATTGATTACTCAAGATTAATCGTTTCAGACCTTTAATTTGGACAAACAAACAGGATTATAGAAATGTTTCACCTCTCTGAGGTAGCAGGAGATTCCTCTCAGGGCCGTGCTCATCGCCGTCGGCGAGGGCAGCTGGGGGCAGAAAGCAAGAGAAGTGGATAAATGTTAGGAGGGGATGAGTGGCGGTGCAGCGGCAGGAGGATGAGGAGACGGGGACGGATCTATCAGTCCGGAGGCGAAGCCGCTTTTAAGAGTTAGAGGCTGAAGCAGCGTCTGGCTCGCAGGATGACAGAAGGGCTTTTCTGTTTGATGGCAGAGTGGCCGCCGGCCTCAGAGGGATAATCTAATACCACATGAAGAACCAAACCGCGGCTCCATCCCACTTCGTTTCACTCACCAGCCCCCCTGCGCCGCCTTTCATTTTTTAATCCACTTGTTTCTCATCTCCACAGAGTCTCTGACGACCCCTCCTCGCCTCTCGCTCTTCCTCCTCACCTTTCATTTTTCTGATCTCGCAGCAATCGTTCCCCACACGTGACCTTGCTGACATTTAGCCTGCGCGAAAAGCTATTTGTCCTCCATAGGAGGAGACACGATTCTCTCTGTTTGTAATTTTGAGGGAAGCACAAACCATGTCAGTGGGTCAATATTACAAACTCAAACAAATCAAATAGAACAAACATCTGCTGCTTTTTTTGGTTGTTTAGCCTCTATTTGAAGTGCATAAATATATAAAAAGAAGTGGAGTGGCTCAGCTTTCCTATAAAACGTCTCTGCTGTTGTTTTAGTTCAAATTAATTAAAACTACATTAATTTAACTTAATTTTTTTAGTAATTTATAAAGTTTGTCTTGAATTTTCACATATGCTTTGAGTTGAGAAGAGCTATGATGACATAAAGTTTGGTTCAATTTATTCTAAATGTTTCTCAAGTAAATGTAACCTATGGAAGCCCATTTCTGCCAGGAAAGGCAAAATAAAAGCTCAACAGGTAGTCATAACTACGAGTTTGAAAGTCACAAACATAAGATATTAAGTCATAATTTCAACTTTTGCTCATAATTTTGAGACACAAAGTCATAATTATGATAGGAAGTCATAATTTTAAAATACAGTCATAATTTTGACTTTCTAAGTTGTGATGATGAGATATGGGTTTCCACAGGAGCAATCCTCTTCAGAGAAACAACTTTCTATCTCTTTAAATCTCATAATTATGACTTCCTGTTGAACTTTTCTGTTTTTTTTTAATGGCAATAAAGGTTTTCCATAAGTTACTCACTTTCCACCTGTGTAATATTGAAAAACTGAATTTTTATGGTTCTATTAATGAATCTCTAAATATTACTGTTCACTGTTTAATTTGTAAGAGGTAAAATTATTCAGATTGGAACATAAATAGTCGGTTTAGTTGGATGTCACCCAGAAAGGGACTTAAAACTAATTAAAGCCCCTCCTTCAGTCACAGCTTTGGGGAACGTTCTATGACCAAAGTCCCATACCTAATTATTTTTTGCCTCTGTGTGTTTTTTGACATGTAAAACTGAGGATTGCGGCGGCACCTGGGAGTCGTATCAGCGGCTCGTTACCAGACTGAACGGCTGCTGATGAGGGGAATCAGACACGTCATTCTGCAGAAAGACGAGAGATTCTTCTAAAAGCCGCAGGATGTGGACACTGCTGTGTCAGTTAGAGTTTAAATCAGACGAGGTTTGGCTTTTTACCGATTAATATAAATGTTATGTTTTTTAAGATTTATTTTTTGGGAAAAACTGTTTTTTTCACCACCAGTGATGTTAGCGCCAAGGCCGCCATTTTGTTTAAGTTTTGCAGCTTCTTTCTTTTTTGGACTTTGAATTCAAGTCAACTCTACGACGAAATATTAAGGTCAGACTACAAGGAAACAATCGTACGATGATAAAGTCAAAAAAAAAACTGAATATAAAGTTTTTTTTGGTAAATTGCATCGTTTCTCTGCTAATATATTCTCGTTCTCTAATAGAACGAGAATATATTAACGGATGACTGAAATAAACGTCACTTTTTAAAAATATAAGTAATTTCTTTTTTTCAAAAAGAAAGCGAGCAAATAGGATCTAACATGAAAAAGATCCTTCCTTGCTGAGTTATTTCAGGACGACTTCTGGGAATATTTGTTCAGAAAACACTGAAATATTGGGGCCCAGCGAAGCATCGAATCGGACAGATAAACATGCATGTTTTGACCGATTCTCTCCTGGTTTGGACTTCCACTCCCCTCGTCTGTCCATGTTCACTCAGAGCGTCATGAGTCACATAAGAAGCATTAGCACGCCGACCGCCACACGTCCCTGCAGTCATCTCTCCCCCCTGCACATGTATTTCCCCATTTTCCTCCTCTTCCTCCTGTTTTACTCCGTCTCGTCCTCACAGGAGGCGGATGCTCCAGACAGATGTTGAAGTGTTTGGTCTGGTCAGGCTTCACGCGGCGCAGGGCCACCCTCGACTCCCCGATGAACTCGTTATGTGTCAGCTTGTCTTCGTCACAAACGGACACCCTGGGAGACAGAGGCAGAGCCGGCGGGGGGAGGGACAGTGACAAACGGTGAGCGAAGCATGAATAAAATATAAGAGCATAGCTGGGTAATGAGTCAGAGGTAGAGATCTGAAAGGAGACCAATCAAGGTGGTTTTCTCTGTGTGTGTGTGTGTGTGTGTGTGTGTGTGTGTGTGTGTGTGTGTGTGTGTGTGTGTGTGTGTGTGGTGAAGTAGTCAAACAAGCAACATCTTATGACATCCTTTAAAGTCGTGACAGAAATATAAGAAGGGAATGAAATCAGTGATGAAAGCCTGACCTGAATTAGAAAGGAAGCTGTCAGGAATCTCAAAGCGAATCTTTTGGGATTTATTCAAATTACAGTTTCAAAATTAATGTATTCAGACGTGATTGCATCTGCTATACCAACACAGATTAATGCATCAGTGAGATAAAACTTTACGAATGGAAAGAATCTATCAATTTCCAAGAGATGATGTTGACTGTTAATTGGACTGTGGGGACTTTCTTGAAGTTCAATTCTACAACGGCTTATTATTATTATGATTATTTTTAAAAAGGGAGTACATTTCTGCCAAAAACCTCAGAAATTATGAGGTTAATCACAGAAATTTTCTATAAAAACTTAGACATTTCTGAGCTCCACAAGTTGAACATTTGGTAGAAGAAACTCAGAAACTTTTAGATTAATATCAGAAATTTTCTAGAAACAAGAAAATTTCTGCATTTTAAAAGTCAAAAATTTGACATTTTTGAGCTCCAAAAGTAAAAACTTTGGTAAAAGAAACTTGGCAATTCCCTAAGAAAAACAAGAACATTTCTGAGCTCTGAAAGTTGAAATTTTTTTTGAAGAAACTCTGAAACTTTCAGATTAATATCAGAATTTTTTTAGGAACATAAAAAATTCTGCGTTCAAAAGTAAAAAATTTGGCAAAAGAAACTGCAATTCTCTAGAGAAAACAAGAAAATTTCTGCATTTCAAAAGTCGAAAATTTGGTAGAAGAAACTCAGAAATTTTCTAGAAAAACAAGACAATTTTTCAGCTCTAAAAGAAAAAGAACAATTGTTTATGTATCTGTATTTAAAAACATTAAATAGTTCCTTTTTATTTCAGGCCAAAGTTATTAACAGGGACATATTATGCAAAACTTGCATTTTGCACCATTTCTTTCTTCCATTTGGGTCTCAGCTGCTTCTAAAAACAGGACAAACGTTTTAAAAAGTCACCCAGACAGTTTTCGTCAATATTTTAAGGTTTTTTAGTGCCCGGAAAATTTCCCGTTTCAAAAACCTTTGTAATGTAACGTCACAATCAGCAGGCACTGAGCCCTCACCTAGTAACCCCAGCAGAACCCAGCCCGTTACCTAGCAACCCGGTCTAAGCTCAGCCCGTTTCCTAGCAACTCAAGCAGAGTTCCAGCACTTTTGGTCAGCTGGTTTTACTGCTGTATGCGGCGTAAAATGGCTGCTAGAAAAAAACAAGTGCCTTACCATCCAGAAACCCCTTAAAATCTCATTATCTAAGAATGATTATGTTTAAAAAAAATGTAAAAAAAACTAAAAAAAACATGTTTTGTTCAAGTCTTACCTGTTCAAGGAAGCGCAATAGATCACCTTTAAGAGCCACTGAGATCCACTTGTAGTTTGAAGACTCCTGATTTTTAGATACAAGAGTGACAGCCGTGTATCTTTTACTTCGCATTTCACAATTACGTACCACTTCACAAAAAAATCCCAAAACATAGATAAAAAACTGTGACTGCAACGTGACAAAATGACGACTGCTCCTGCAAGGCGGTGTATGTGTTTGCATATTCTTGGAGATAATTGTCACGTTTCTCTCAGTGGGGATTCAAACAGTGTGAAAGTGCATTACAAGAGGTTAAATAAATCCATATTTATGCCATGAATTCAGCAATAATACGTGGGTGGGAGCACTGAGGAGCGAAGGAGGTGGAAACAGGTTGTGGATGTGGGATCGAGAGGCGAAGGAGTGATGCGGCTGAGAAAGAGGTTAAAGACAGAAGAATGAATTTAAATGTGCATCTGAACCCGAGTGCCTAAGATCACTAAGTTTCATATTGTTATTTATAAAAATGTATCCTTCCATCACAGAAACACCTTCAATTTCTAGTTTCTGGTTATGAAACAAAACCACTGCAGAAAGTTCAATATATGTGCAAAACAAAATCTCTGGAGAAAATTTCTAGTCTGATAATTCACCCAAGCGGGAAAAAAAATCATACATTTGATCTCAAACTGCAGGGAGAAACAGAAATGGAAGAAAATAAGTGAGGGTGTGAGGTCCAGACGAGAACAAAGACAGATTGAGTCATCTGGAGAAAATCAGGACAGAGCGATGAGTGGCGGTGTAACAGGTCAAAGGTCAAGAGCGGGGGATGGGCTCACATGTTCACCTGCAATGCAAACATTTTCTGACAGCTTATATTTACTACATCATCTCAGCATGTTAACCTACAAAATAAATTTTTATGAGAGAATATAACCAGTCAAGATTCTGCCACCAATCAAACTAAAGTCCAGTGAATTTTTCAGCGTATTGTGAATTACAAAGTTGACTTTAATCTAAGAAATTAAGTTTATTCACTGTAGTTTTTACTAATTCTACTCATTTTTTTTTTACATTGTTATGATAAACAATGAATTTAAATAAGTTCATGCCCTCTATAAATTAACTTAAAGTAATGTGACAGTGAGGACTGATCAGCAAGGTATCCCACAATGCATTGTGCCAACTAATTAAACCACTTTTTATTTTACTTATAACAAAATGTTTTCCCAATATTACAAGTGAAATAATCTGCCAGTAGAAGTAGCACTTTTTCATCCATATTAAGGAATTGTTTACTCAAAACAAGCATCTATACCTCGCTGAAAAGTTACTTGTAGTTTAGTTTTGTTTTATTTCATGTGCACTAAGATATTTGCACTACTTGATACTTGGTATGATTTTGTGTTTTTGCAGTGCATTAATGCATATCCGGGTATATCTGCTGTTTGAGCCATTTAAACAGGCAGTAATAACCGATTTTAGAGGGAATCCTTTTGGATTTCAACAATTCGTGGGCGGCTTTGGTCCCAGAAACGACCCGTCGTGCTAGAAAAGACGATACTTCAAAAGGTATTTAAACAGACTTTTTCGCAGCGTTGTGCTTGTAAGTCTTTCTTCTTTCGCCTGTCGTGTTGAAATTAAGACTTGGACTCGGGTGTTTATTCCCTCCAGGTTGGAGCCACATGCTTTAATCTTTCTGTTGTTTGACCCATCTTTCCTTTGACATTTAGCATTCACTGACATTTTCACAGAAGTCGCAGTCGCCATGAACTGAAGCAGCACACTGACCCAGATTCATGCAGGGAAATCCTCACAGACAGTAACAGATGCTCTCCATAATTTATTTCAAACTGGTCTGAACTGGGGAATCCTTTCTGTGCAGCATTCTCTGAAAAAATTCAAATGTTTTGGTGGACTGGAGAAATTTCACTGCACAGGAAAAAATTATAATATTCTCAGAGCATTTGATGAATCACATGTAACATTAACATGTGAAAATCTCAGGCATTTCTGCTTGATTTCATACCAACACAGTGCAGAGCTGAGCTGTTTATTTTTTAATAATCAGAAAGCAAAAGGTGCTTAACAGGAGTTTTACAGAATTTGAACCAGGTGGACCTAAAACTTTAACGATTAATCGATTACTAAATTATTCAAATAATTGATTAATCACAATTAATCGCTTCAGCCTTAGCTAGAAAACACAGACATCAGGTATTGACCTGCAGCAGGTTGTGAACCTGAATGAGTCAAACTCCTGATATTTACGTGCCGGCGCCGCGGGTCGGCAGCAGGACAAGTTCCTCTTATCACCCCCGGGAGCTAACCTGTCCATCCTGCTCAGATCCGGCTCTCATGTGGACCACGGCAAAGTTTCAGTCACAGACAGAAACAATTCGCAGCTTTCGTCACCTCCAGAGGGGGGGTCAATGAGATTAAAACACCCCGCGGTGCACAGTCTGACCTCAATCTGTCACTGCAACTTTGAAAAAGAGAAAGCAAAGAGGAAGATGGAAGGAGCGACAAAGAGAGGTGGAGATCTTCTCTGATCTCAGCGGACAGGAGAGATGTTTGGATAGGAAGGGACGAGGCTGAGGTGACAACATGAAACAGCCTCAATGGAGGCAGAGAGGGGGCGTCGAGAACCACTGGGCGTCCTTTAAGCTGATAGCAAAGGACTCAGCGATTGAAAAGGACGATAAGGGATCTTTTGTACGCGTGAGTCAGATCTGGAACAGCCGAGAAAATAAGAGGGGGAGAAATAACCACAGGTAGCTAAAAAATTACTCAAGTAAGAGCAGCAGTACTTCAATATATATTTACTCAAGTAAAAGTAAAATGTAACCGTGCAAGAAATTACTAGTAAAAAAGTATTTGGTAAAAATGCAACTCAAGTAACTGATCAAAAAAGTCAAAAATATGTCAGACTGACCAAAATGTGAACTCATAGGTTTTATATTAAAAGGTGACCTACTTTGCTTCCTTGAACCAACAAGTTTTTGTTTTTTGTCTTTTTTACATAAAATCATCCTTCAGTAATGAGATTTCAGTTTGATTAGTTCTGCTTATGAGCTGTTTTATGGCCTCTGTCACTAAATCTTAATAAGCTGCTGCTAGCCATGCCCCTAACTCAATGTTTCCCTCCCACGTAAAAATGGCGGCAAACAGATACGCAATTACACAACTATATGACTTCAAAAAGCAGAAGTAGAGCCTCCTGCACAATCAACAGTATACCACACTGCAAAAACAGTGTACCATTTCAGTTTTGACTTGAGATAACACAAAATTAGCTCACAAGTAACTTGTGAGAAAGATTTATTAGTTTAAATTATTGTTTTAGGTCAATAATTTTTGAATATTGATTAGAAACAACACTAGTTCCACTGGAAGATATTTAAACTTATAAGATGACATTTTGCACAAGAAGTTTAAACGAATAATCTGCCAATCCAGCTACTGGTAATACTTTTTTAAAAAAAATCAATATTCAAGAATTGTTTACTTAAAACAAGCTGCTATATCTTGCTGTAAAGTCATTTGTGAGTTAGTATTATCTTATTCCAAGTATACTGAGACATTTGCACTTGAAACTAGACTTATTGGTAAGATTTTGTATTTTTGCAGTGCAGCTGAACAACAAAACTCTTGTCTTTTCCGGGAGCAAACTGTACAGCAGTAAAATCAGTTAGAACTCAACTTGGGTTGCTAGGTAACGGGGCTGGCCTTGGCTGGGGTTGCTAGGTAACGGGGCTGGCCTTGGCTGGTGTTGCTAGGTAACGGATTTGCGACGTTACATTCCAGAAGTTTTTCCAAGGCTTCATTTTCCAAACACCAAAACACATGAACTTACTGCCAACAAAATGGCTGGGTGTCTTTTGTAAAATGCTTGGGTTGTTTTTCAAAGCAGCAGAGACCAAAACAGAAGAACAAAAATGCACAAAATGGTGAATTTTGCATAAAATTCTGTTAAATACAAGAGTTTTGTCCCCTTTAAGAGCAAAATGAAAATAATTCATATAAATAACACAATTACAATATCAGAAAAAAGAGACATTTTTATAGAAATAAACCAAATTCTTTTAATATAAAACTTATGAAACTAACCAAAACTTCAGGTGTGTCACTGTGTCTGGTGATTTTTGGGTTGAGTTTATTCTTCAAATAATGAAGTTACTCATAGTGGGTAGAGTATCCAGAAATTTTACTCAAGTAAAAGTAAAAATACTCCTAAAAATATTTTTTTCTAAAGATACTGAAGTAAATGTGACCAGCTGCTGCCCAGGCCGGTGAATAGCAGAGACTAACCTGAGAGTTTTGCGATACATGTCTTCCTCGGTGATGCCGCAGTAGGTGAGCGTCTCGTTCCACACGGGGTTGAGTGTGTTTCGAACAATCTTTGTTTTCAGTTTATTCGCCTGTCAACGCCACGGGGAGAATGAAGTAAATGTCACTGCGAGCTTCGCTGCGACGTGCAAACAGCAGAAAAATAACCCCAAGGTCCTTCTATTACTGCTCATTTATTCATCCGCATTTTCGTCACACAACTCTAAAATGAGACCATGATTGAAGAGTGTCCTCCAATCTTCCTGCAGACAGGAAGCTGAAGGTCTCTTTCAATTTCACAGGAAAACACTGAGAAATGAAAAACACTTGTAATAAAATCCAACCTTGCAGGCTCCCGGCAGCAGATGCAGCTTGACGTAGGGATCGGCCAGACCGTTGAAATCCATCGGCTTCAAACCCTTGCAGAGAAAATATAGGACATAAAAACTACAAAATGAGATGTGGAGGTGACTCTGGAGACTTCCAGCAGCAAAAAATGCTGAAGTATGGGGTTCATTTGGAAAATGTTTAAAGATAAATCAAACTTAAGAGTTTGAGTGTGAAGGGTGAAAATAAGAAGCTGAATGTAAGTCTGTACCCTAAAAACAAAGATATGTCCTATTTAAAACATTTACAATGCCTGATACTAAACAACTTTACTTTAAAAAAAGCATTAAATATCTGTGTTTTTAACAAAATCACAAAATCATAAAATGTGCAACGTTACCATGCCAACTCGTTTTAATTGAGAAAGTTTAGTATGAATAATCTCTGCAGAAGTGAGATATTTGAGGGTTGAAAAAAATAAACATTGCAGTTAAAATAAGATGTAAAATCAAACATATTAAAGAATATTTTTTTTCTCGCAGTCAAATCAAAGTAAAGGTTTCTTGTTTCAGTTCTGTTAGGTTTACAATATTTATGTAGTTGCTTAATATCTAAACAATGACAGTTTTGTGTATGTACTTCTTATTAGCTTCTTCACATCCAGATTACTTGTACAGAAACAGAAAATGTCTGTAAAGATGTTAGAAAAACACATTTATACATTGGATTCTGGTCAGAAGTCACAGATTTTTCTGTGGAACGTAACGTTCTGGGAAAATTCAAATATCCATAAGTTTTTTTCATAGAGTGTATAAGATATTTTCCCCATGTTATCTGTGAATTAATCTGCCAGCAGAACTAGTACTATCTATGAATATTCAAGAATTATTTACGTTCAACAAAATCCTACATCTTGATGAAATTTTAATTATAAGTTAGTTTTTTTTATATATTTCAAGTGAATTAGGATATTTGCAGTAGAAACTAAACCAAAAATACTTTGAGTTTTTGTGTTTTTGCAGTGAGGGTTGATTGGCTGCTTTGATTAGCAAAGCAGCCAATCAGAGAGCCCCATTTATTTTCCTTGGTGCTGATTGGCTGAGAAGATAAGTAGATATTAGTTTCTGCTGTGGTGCCAAGATTATTTCAGCTGTGTATATTAATGCATATTATGGTATATTTGGTGTTTAAACTATTAAATCAGACAGCTTTGATGATTTTTAGAGCAAATCTCAAGTATTACACTGTATATGCAAGAGTGGTATATACAGTGTAATACGTTACCTCAAATGTGTATAAAACTATTTCCCCATGTTGGTTTCAGAAGTCTAACACATAATCATTATAGCTGACAGAAACACAACCTGGTTTTCCTTTGCTGGCTTTCTGTCTGACAAGTCAGCCGGCGTTTAGAGGTTGTAAAGCATTTTCCCGTGGACACCGTACCTTTGCTCTGAGGACTGTGCAGTGTAAGGAGCTGGTGGCTTTCTCGTACAGAAGGTCAAACTCTAACGTCCCCAGGGAGGCTGGAAGGGAGTTAACGACAAGTCAGAAGAAATATGTGCCAGTTATACAGGTAATTGCTTTTATGATGATGACTTCATTAGGAGGCGAAGAGCAAACAGCACAGAGAGAGACAGAGAGAGAGAGAGAGAACGATGGGAATATTGAATAAATATCAACTAGTTCCTGAAATCTTAAACTTTCTCTTTACGCGATTTTCTTCTGAACTCTTTATACGAGTCCAGATCTGTGTCAGTGTCATTTATTTTGTCTTTTACGAGCTGAACCAGATTTTTAAGGTGACCTAAGATGTCTCCTTGAACAGGTTAGGATAGATAGGTCTATGTGCGACACAAAACACATTAATTAATTTTTTTTTTTTGCACAAAATCATTCTTAGATAATTAGATTTCAGTCTGCTCAGATCTGCCTATTTGGAGCCATTTCAGGCCCTCCTGTCACTTTAAATCCAAATAAGCTGGTCACAGATGAAAATAGCTGCAAACTGATGCGCAATTATACAACTGTACATCTTTGAAAAGCAGAAGTGGAGCCTCCTGCACAACCAAATCCAAAACCACTAAATGCAAAAGGATTTGTTAGCATACAGAAAAATTATATTTGCCAAGTTAAGCTAAAAGATGAGGTAGCTCATAAAAAAAGGTGAAGAGTGATTTGGAAAATTAAAAAGAGCCTAACTAGGTCCACCTCCTTCTATACGACGGAGTATAAAAAAATAAATAAAATTACAAGAATAAAGTAAAAAAAAATATGACAATGAAGTCATACAAGAACAAAAGTCACATTATCACGAGAATAAAGTCATAATTGTATTAGTTTATTCTTGAAATATTGACTTTTTTTCTCGTATTATTGCAACTTTAATCTCGTAATACTACGACTTAATTCTTGTTCGACATTATTCTCAGACTTTATTCTCGTATTATTGCGTCATTATTTTCGTACGACTTTATTCTTGTAATTTAATGACTTTATTCTTGTAATTTAATGTTTTTTATTATCTTAGCGTGGTGCTAACACTCCCTCATCCTCATAAACCCGGCCCTGTTTTTCAGTGAGACCCGACCGTTGCTCTGAGGCGACTCACTGTTGTCGTCGCTGTCGCAGCTGTCGATCTCGATGGAGGTGTCCATGCTGCTCATGGCCGACAGCGACCCTCCTCCTCCTGCGGCTCCCGGTAGCAGTGGAGACAAAAGGCATCTGCTCGCCCCGCCTCCTCCTTCTCCGTCTCCTCCTCCCGCTGCTCCTCCTCCACCTTGGCCCGCGCTGCCGGGGCTCAGCGGAGCCGGCGCCGTCAGCTGGTTGGGCGAGAGCGGCTCCGAGAAGGAGGAAGTGGGCGAGAGGCGAGGGAAGTAGGCAGAGATCTGACGGATGGGGCGTATGGGGCCCGGGCAGACGTTGATGGCCATGTGCTCCTGGATGGAGATGCCCAAACGGTTTCCCTTCCGCACGGTCATAGAGCTGAGAGGAAACGCGATGACAGTCAGTAAGAAAAAACTGAAGCGCCAGGGCGACACTTAATGCTACAAAAACACACACAATGCTTTTATATAAATCTGTTTTAAGCAATCTATTACAGAAGACAATTTTGGTCACTGAAAAAAAAATCTGACCTTTTTT